CTACCGTGCGAAACGCCGCGCCCGGCAAAGTTTTTGGGGCAGGTGCAGAACGTTCGTTGGAGGCTCGACGAAAGTGTCAGCAAAAGCCCTTTGAAGTGTCTGTGCTTTGGATGCAGGTGTGTGGGTCATAAGTCTTACTTGGGGCTTGTTTCCAGCACTTTCCAATGTGTTCTTGTTTTTCAGTTGGTGTCCTGCTTTGTGTGTTCGAAATGAAGGATACCAAAATTCCATGTTGCCACTTTGGGAAGAGCTTGCCAGCCAAGTGTTTCTATTGCTGCTGTTTTGTCATCTTTCACAACATGTCTGCATCGACTGGCATGGGCCGTCGTGTGTCGCAGTTGGTGATGCTTTCCCGCGTTTGCGTCCCGGTACAAAGTGAAAGTCTCTTTGTAGTCATAGGATGTACCCGTCACAGCTGCTATTGTCCAGCTGGCGTGGGATCCAGGTCTTGAACTTGGCAAATATGCCAGTCTGCAGAAAGAACGTCCATGCCAAAGTACTTCTGTGAGATTCCAGCTTTTCATACAATCTGGGCATTGCTTTTTTGGTGTTTGATCTTTTTGGAAGAATGAAGCAGCAATGTTGCTTCATGTGTCAGGCACAAACAAGACCTATCAGTCGGAAAAGTCACTGAGTTTGCTGACTTACCAGACTGCCAAGAGCGTTATATGAGCAGGCATGTTGCTTTGCATGCTGCTTTCACGCAGCACATCCCGCAAGACCTGCATCGAGGCAAGCAGGCAGACCACTGATCTGCCTGAAGGTGCAAAACGTGACATGCAGCATCTGCTTCGAACATGAACTTCTGTGGTGCCTGTGGAGTTGTACACTAGCAGCTCTTAGTCCTTGCGGTCCTTAAAGCAGGCGTAAGATGTGTCTATGAGACAGAGTGACATATGAAGGCTTGACACACCAGGAGCTGGTTGACAGACGTGGCAAGTTTGGCTCCAGCCACAGACTTCTGACCCCATAATGTTGTCAACACGGTGTGAACATTCGAGTTGCCTCGCTGTATGCCGGCGGTAAGATCCGCTGAGCAACTTTTTTCAGGCCTGTAGACTGTAGCCTGATTCGACGACGAGAACGTGGCTGTTGCTTCAGTTTTTGAAAACATTCCGCGACAGCCTCGATGTTGAAAGTCATTTCGGTGAGGTTGCTCAGATCGAACCGCTGCGTGGTTGGAGGAACTTCCTTCGCTTCCAGAACAGCAGATTCTCAAGGATTAGGATCGACTTGCGCAGAGACAGGACATGTCTTCGACAATTCCCACTTGGAGTGTTGTCTGTTGGTTTGGTCATCAGTCATTTCAAAAATGCTTTCATGCATGGTGTGGGGAAATACATTCTCTGAGACTTTGGTTCGGGTCGAAAATTATCTGCCAGTCCAACGAGCAAATTCAACAAAGAAGAACCATGAATGACAGAATGAAAAAATGAATGCATGAATGCATGAACGCATGGACGCATGGAACGCAACGGAATGGAGTGGCATGGCAGGCAAGGCAACGGAAGGGAATGAAATGGAGCGAAATGAATGAAATTGAAGGAATGGAATGAAATGAACGAAAGGGACCGAACTAAAGGACATGAACTTACATGAATGACATGAATGAACGAGTGAACAACAGACTGAGTTAAATGAATGAAATGAATTGTTTTGAGTGAAATGAACGCATGAATGAAGAGAATGAGGGAAGGAAGGATAGAAGGAATGAATGAATGAATGAATGAAGGAAGGAAGGAAGGAAGGAAGGAAGGAAATGAGTGAATGAACCAATGGAAAGATGAATGCATGAATGCATGGAATTGGCCGGGATGGCAGGGAAGGGAAAGGAATGAAATTAAGTGAAATGAATGCACGAATGAATGAAAGAGTGAAAGAAAGAATGAATGAATGAATGAATGAATGAATGAATGAATGGAATGAGATGGAATGAAATGAAATGAGATGAGATGAAATGAATGAATGAACGAATGAATGAACGAATGAATGAACGAATGAATGAACGAATGAATGAACGAATGAATGAATGAATGACAAATTGAGTGAAAGAACGACTGAAGTGAACAAAGGAAGGAAGGAAGGACAGAAGGAAGGAAGGAAAGAAGAAAGGAAAGAAGGGACGAAGGAAGGAAACGAACGAATGCAGGAAGGAATGAAGGAATGAAGGGCTGACGCAATGAACGAAATAATGAACGAAGGAAAGATCGGATGTATGAATTAATGAATGAATGAATGAATGAATGCATGAATGAATGAATGAAGGAATGAAGGAATGAAGGAATGAAGGAATGAAGGAATGAAGGAATGAAGGGAGGAATGGAGGAATGGAGGAATGAAGGAACGAACGAAGGAGCAAATGAACGAACGAATGAACGAAAGGAGTGATTGACTCACTGACTGATTGACTGACTGATTGATTGACTGACTGACTGAATGATGAGTGATTGAGCGAAAGCAGGAAGGATAGATGGAATGGAGCGGAACGGAGTGGAATGAAGGCATGAATGCATGAGCGCATGATGCAAGATACTAGCACTACTAGTTTCTGCTGCCACGATTGGGTGCGATTTGAAGCGTCCGCAAAAAAAAACACCGTCCCATTGATCAAGATGCCCGTTCAAGATGACAAGGATGCACTTGTACTGCAGCTTGTGATCGATCAACGACAAGATTGCAGCTGTTTTTGACTTCGAGATTCCAGAGCCAAACTGGATACAATGTTGCAACAAGAAGACGGATAAAAAACAATTGTTTTAGATGTTCCAATTGGATTCCTGAGGCTCTAAGGCTGTCGAAATTTATTGAAAGCTTTAACCCATTTAAACCTTGAGTTTCGAGCCTGACCGCAATGTACTACACGTGCGGCAGACATGCCTTGGCAGTTTGCGGCAGTCGGCTGAGGAATGTTAAGTGGTGATTGATAGCGCCAGTTTCACATATTGTTGTGTGGAGATTCGACGAAACTTGTGTCACCCGTTGCATATTGTACAGTGATATTAGAGGTGAGAATGGTTTCGGTTTTCGTGGCGGACGGATGCCGACAGGAAGTTGTAGGTGGCGCTGACACACAACACTGTACTTCCACATGTTCACTTCACCTCGCTAGCATCGCGGTGTACAGTGTCTTGCAAATCGTTCAGATCGTCGCAGAAAGTTGGTTTTGCGAATGTTTAGGATCTCAACAACACTAAAAAATCACCTTTCCAGCGGTGCATTTTTGAGGCAATATGTTTTTCGCAGACAAAGAAGTTGCCCGACTGGGAACTTGATAAGGTTGTTTCTTTGCAATGCCTCCAATAGTGTGCTTAGTTAAGGTCAGCGCAACTAGGTCCAGAAAACGCATTGAAAAGCTATCGAAGACGGACACGCTCTCATGACACAGTCTGAGTAAGCTGTTTTTCAACCCATTGGCAACACTTCTTCAGCCGTTTTGCTATATTGTCGCAGATCCGATCACTGATTGCTCCTCCATTTCTTTAGTCTCGTGGTTCCGGGTTAAGAGACAAGGCAAACTTTGTGGAGTGCGATTTTTGTGTTGTTGAATTCAGAGTTCATGCCAAATGTGTAATCATGAGCTTTGACCATTCCGCTGCGCATGCTTTGAACTGCACATCAAGTTGTTGCCCAAGTGTTGAAGCTTGCGACTAGCATCAAGCAGGATGGTAGAACTCAAAAGTCAAACGCCAAGGGCTGCTGTTTTGTTTTGCGTGGTTACGTAATCCCTTACTCTTGGGGTCATCGTGATCTGGTGCTTGAAGCTTGCAGGATTATACAGACATCGTATCGTTTTCGCAATGGAAAGGCTGCAGAGTTTGTTGGAGGAAGAGGAGCTTCGTCTGGCAGCAAGCATCGCCGCGAATGCTTTTGTTGAGAGTCCGTTTTATCGTTACATTTTTCCAGATGCCCCGGGCCGGATTGCCGCTCTGACATGGATGTTCTTGCGAAATTATCGCATCCGCACAAGCCGTTGTCATGGCACGTTCAAGGGTGCCTATTCTGCGGACGGCAAACTGCTCTGCTGTTTCTGGCTATTTGCGGAAGACGTTCCTGGCATTAGTCTTTGGGATATGCTTCGCCACGGGCTTCTGGAAATGCCGCTGAGATTTGGCATGACTTCCATGCGCCGCATGCTCGCTGTTGCGAAGTGGACAGATCAAGCTTTGGACGGCCTGAAGCAGGAACATCCGAAGCACGTTTTGCTGGAACGCATGGTGGTGTTGCCGGACTACCAGGGCAGCGGAGTCGGTACTGCTGCGCTGACTGTAGCATTGAAGGAAGCAGACGCAGCTGGCCGGGCGGTGCCTGGGCTTTCATTCCGAAAATTCGTATCGGACTTCGGAAAGTAATGTAGACATGTGATCCAGTTTGGAATTGTCGCGTTTGACCTTGCTTGCATGGCAGGTGATTTTGACCACGCAGCTCGAGCGGAACGTTGTTTTTTACAGCCGCCTCGGCTTTTGCGTCGTCAAAGAGGAAATCTTTGAGCCTGATGATGGAGAGAGCATCCGCTGCTGGTTTATGGTGCGACATGCCAGCACCACTTCCTAGACCCTAGACATCAGATCCGCGCGGTTAAAATTGAACGACTTTCTGAATACTGTGCCAGAACTTGTGGTGCGCAGTATAGTGACACGGTGAGCGTTGTTGTTCGGTTGTATCTCGATGCCGAGTTTCTTCCCGGTTGTCTCGCACATGCGTCAGCGATGGAGGCAGCGGCGGCGGCGGCAGCAGCAAGTGCAGCAGCAGCAGCAGCAGCAGCAGCAGCAGGAGCAAGGGCAAGCATCACCAACAGAGACACCAAGGCATGGTTCACCAGGTATATACAACGTTGCCGAGTCAGGAAGCCAGACAGTTGTCATCGGGCTTTGTTGGGAGGTGGTTCCACAAACGAACTTGTTCTGCCTGCGGACATCTGCGAGTGCTCAAATCCTTCGTTTCACTGGGGCTGCCTCTGTCGGTCTGCAGCATGGCTCACGTCCCAGCTGCTGTTGATCTAAAAGCATGAATATCGTTGATATTTACAGGAAAGACTGGCAGGCAATTTCCGATTGATGCCCGAGTGGAATGGAGTGCAGGTCGTTCAAGCGCAGGTTGGTTGTACTTGTGATGCACATGCACTGTTCCGACGACACGTGTCATCACCCAGAGGCGGTGCTGTGCCCTAGGACACAGCTGCCCATAGCTCGTAGCACAGGCAGCTTCAGGCACTCCACAAGTGCAGAAACGATGGTGTCCTGTCACCATCTGTCACCAAGCTCCAAAGGCCGCACAAGCTCGGCTGGGCGGCACCTCCAAAGGCCTGCGCTGCTCGGGTTTTGCGAAGGATGGGCCATCTGTGCAGGTTGAAGCATTCGATGGCTTTCAGACATCCGTCTTTCTGAGGGTTTTGCTAGCATTCTGTGCGGTTGCAATGGCCTGCTCTAGCCATCTTGCAAGGCCACAGACATCTGCTAAGACGAGTTCTTTTCCACCGTACATGTATGAAGCAACCGGGAAGACCGAGCTGTATGTCTCGAACCCCGCGTATCGGTCGCCTCTGTGCCAGAAACAGCCAGGGCAAACTTGCGATGACTTTGCAATCCCCGTCTGCAGGCAGTTCTTTAGAGGAAGCCAAGGCTCGTGCTGCCTCTTGGCTGCAGAAGAGTACAAGCCGATTTGGGTGTTCACAGAAGTCGAGTCGCAGACAAGTTTTCCGAGGCCAGCCGCACCGCCAGCCGTGCGGCCGCGGAGGCGGAAGGTGCGCGAGCTGCAGGGCAGCTGGCGGCACGAGCCAAAGGACCGATTCGGATCCTCCTACTTACTATGCCTTCTCATGCTAACAACGAGGCCAAAGCATTGGCGAGTGTAAGCAACAGCACAAACGCCGCCTGGAAGACAACATGCACAGAGCTCTACCGTCTCAGTCCCAGCGATAATGCCAGCTGTCTAGCATCGAGGACCCCTGCCGCAGAGCGCGGCAGATCTGCAGACAGAAACCACAGGTGCCCCGAACTGTGTTACAGTGTCAGGGATGCTCGTAGCAAGTGGCATTGGCACTCGTGTAAACCTTCGAGTTATTTCGTGAGGACGCCAAGCGATTGGTTTACGGTTTTGGTTAGCGAGAATTCGACGCGGAGGTCACTTGTTGGCCACTCTGCAGATGAAGCTCAAGGAGCTAGATGATGAGGTGAAGGCCACGCAACAAGCATGGAGGGATGCGTTTGCTTGCAGCATCTGTTGGGGGACAGGGCAGGCAAGGTAGAGAGCTTCTGGTGGGAACCAGTAGCCTGAGTTGGTCCAGGAAATGAGTCCAGAAAATGCCTAGGTATCGTAGAGTGCATCCCGAGGACGACGAGAGAGGTGCCGAGGAGTTGCGCCGACATCTGAAGCGATTGCAGCAGGAGCACAAACAGTCCCACAGGTTTGCAACACTTCGTTGCACTTTGTAGTTGATTTTGTATCGGCACGCCTTGAACCCACATAGTTGCCAGAAAGCAAATGATCGCGTGGCATGGGCTCGGCCTGAACCCGCTGCAGTTCTTGGTGAGGCTATCGCTCTTTCCGTCTGGTCGTTATCCTTGCCGAAGCACCTTCGAGACCTCATGCGAGTGGTTTCTTCAGAACAGCAGAGTCCAAGCTTAGCGGCATACTTGTTGCATGTTTTATTTCATTGCTTTCATGTTATCGCCACCCGCTTTCACAACTTCTTGAGTTGTTGGACAGGAGCACGCCGAAATTAAGAAGGCTCTGCACTGAGCCGTCTTTCGCCCTTTCCAGCTGTTCGGGTAAATCACCTGAAGCCAAAAGTTGGTATCTTGAGTATCTTGAGTGCGTGAGAATGTGGGATGCATCATCGGCAGGTCTGGAGTGTTTTCTTAAGGCGCAGTTTTCTTGCCTAGTCCAAATGCTTCCAGCTTCAGCATCAGGATCTGACGCTTGTCACTGGCTCTCTCAGGGCACAAGAAAGCGAAGCTGCTTCTTCGGTGTCAGGGGCATGTCCTGAAATGTGCTGCAGTTCTCCATCTATATCTGCTGGCTCACCTTCAACACACGGGACATCCTGCGTTTCATTCTGTGTGGGATTAAGACTGCTGGACCCTTGCCCGCAGCGTCTCAGTTAAGGCCAGAGACCGGGCGGCGGCGCTGGTCGAAGGCTACGAGGCAGATGGATGTGGTGCAAACTCCACGAACTGCAGCCCATCCACGAGTCGACAGAGGGATGTTTCCAATTTGTGCCTCAGAGGCCGGCTCCATGACCTTTGACAAGGACACTGGTCGGGACATATCGAGCCCAAGAATTGTAGAATCGTAGAAGACTGGCTCAGCTCTTGGCTTCCAGTGCGAAGAGAGCCTCCTTAGCCCGAAACCCTGGACGAAGAGCGACGCAAGTTGTCCTGCAAGTTACGGCAAGGAAGACGAACACTGTGACACACCGGTGATTGACGGTCATAGAGATGGTGGTGCTCCTGATGGTTCCCATGCCTGAAGGAGTACAGCAAGCTGATGGACAGCTCGGATGAGACGTACAAGATGGTCAGTAGCTGAGTTGAACATCTTGCAACGACGGGTTAGGTACCAAAACGTCCATGAGCTGAGCTTTGATTGCAATGCACTCTGAGGTGCGGACCAAGCACAAGGAGGCCATTGGCATTCTGTGGCACCCCCAGCCAGAAACCTCATCCGACCTTGCGAGCATGGCTTCGCGTAGAGATCTCAGGGTAAGCCATGTCGTCTCAAGTCCATGAAACTGACCTCCAAGGGAAAAGGAGGACACCTTTGCGTACCACCCTGCCTACAAGAGGCCAACTGACAAGTCTGTGGCCTCAGACGACACGTTTGCAGCATCCCAAAGCTCAATAATCCAGATAATTCCAGGTTTGAAGCAGCGTATTTCACCCCGACGCCTCTCAAGAAGGCCGAGGACACTGTGGCATGTTGACTTACCCAAGGGGCAGACTTTTTGGTGGTCTCTGGTCTGCGCTTAACGTACCAGTAGAGGAGAGGCGTCGACACCGAAGTGTTGCGAGTATCGGGTGTTGTGGTTGGTGGAGTTTCAAGACGCAGGTTTCCAGGCCTGCACCAGCATTGGATTTTGGCCGATGCCTTTTGAACCCTACTGTAGTGATTGGTCCGTGGCTAGTTTTTTGCGACATTGTTTGGAACAAAGTGTGCCATTTTGCACTGAGGTTTCGGCTTCCGTACAGTGGGGTTGGGGAGAAGATTGAAAACACTAGCAAAAGTTGCCAGCGACCCGGCCGAGTCAATTTGCCCGAGGAGAAGAAGAGCCCTGCGCAGATCAAGCTGGAGCGAATGCGAAAGCAAGGAACACTCTCGCAGGCTTCATCCAGCTCTTGTCGTCACCGTTTCCTGACAACTAGCTTCTGGTTGCAGTGTCTAGGAGTCCTGCTGCTCCAGAGCCTGCTTGTGCTTCCGAGAAAGTCCCGAACGAGGGTGCAGTCGTTCTGACCTGCAGGTCGGCTCCAATGCCGTGGGCGCAGCATCCTCCAGTGTCCGCCCGGCATCAGGGGTCTGGAACAGGTTCGTAAAGGACATAATGTGGGCAAGGCCGTAGAGGGTCCCCCAGGTCGGGTTACGTAGGGCATAGCAGTAGTAACTAGTACTAGCTACCAGTGGTGTTTGGCTTGGGTTTCCATAGTTGGTCTCGGGCGGGATCGACACAAACTTAGAGCCTTGTGACGACGACGAGAACTACTACCACAACAACAACTACCACTACCACCACTGCTACTGTTACTGCTACTACTGCTGCTACTACTACAACTACTACTGCTACTACTGCTACCACTGCTACTGCTGCCACTACTACTACTACTACTACTACTACTACTACTACTACTACTACTGCTACTACTACTACTACTCCTACTCCTCCTACTTCTACTACTACTACTACTACTACTACTTCTACTACTACTACTACTACTACTACTCCTGCTGCTGCTGCTGCTACTACCACTACTACCATCACTACCACTACCACTACCGCCAACAACAAACGAATAGCAATCATACTCGAAATAGCTACAATATTGATGATAGCACTAATGGTAGTATTGAGCCGAGGTCATCTACACCAAGGGCAAGTGCCAAATGCCTTTCACCGAGCTCGGGCCGCCGAAGACAGGCCACGACCTCTTGAAGCATCGGTTGACTTGCGCTGTGTGTCTTCTATATTCGATATACCCTTTTTTATGTTGTAGGATGTATTGTTTGATTTTGCTCTACTATGTTAAGATAATGTGTTATGCAGTGATATGTTGTGTTGCCGTGTAATGTCGCAGCTTATCTGTTCTGATCTGATCTTATCTTACATTATCTTGCATTATCTCTCAACAGTGTATATATATATATGTATATATATATACATATAGTCTTATTTTATACTGTATTGCACTATGTTGTATAACATTGCATTATGTTATTTTCTATTCCGTTCTGTTCTATTCTACTGTTTCATATTGTGGTATGTTCGCTGTATTGTTTTATTATGCTATGCTATGCTATGCTATGTTATATGCTGTTAGACTATGTTAAGTTATAACATAGCCGCACCATGTTCTACATTATATTATGTTATATTAGATTAAACTATTGTATTTTTGAGTTGATGTATTGTGCTGTATTCTACCTTTCTAAGAGCATGCTTCAATTTGTCATAGTATGTTCTGCTATGTGATGCTGCGGTATACTGTATTGCGTTATGCATTACTGTATACATACTAATGTCATGTTAAATTATCTTATATTATGGTCTAGTCTATCATGCATACTAAATTATGTTATGTTGTGCTTTAATACTATATCTTATACTATAATGTTTTACTTTATATCGCATTATACTCTCATACAGTACATCATATGCTACCGTAGTGAATGTTGCCACATTGTGTAGTCTGGCACAGCATTCTCGTAGTATAGTTTAGTATGGTAAAGTATAGTACGGTATAGTATAGCATAGTATAGTATAGTAGCTCATGTCATTTCCCATCATAAAATACCATACCGATTCATACCAAATGATTAGTTTTATATTATATTATATTATATTATATTATATTATATTATATTATATTATATTTTATTATATTATGTTATATTATGTTATATTATGTTATGTTATGTTATGTTATGTTATGTTATGTTATGTTATGTTATGTTATGTTATAGAGAGAGAGAGGCCAAAAATAATCCATAAAAGGGTTTTGGGTTATATTATACTACAAAAA